GCTAAATCAGAATAAAAAATGGCATTGAGTTCTATGCTGGTAATATTTAATTAAAACTTCCTGTCGTAAGGCATTGGGAAATCTCATGGGTCGCTTCGTTGAGAAGATAACAAATTTAATCAAGTTTCAAAATCATTGAACGAACATTTGATATTATCTCTTTAAGATTCTTCACGGATAAATGTAAGAATCCATCTCTAAGTCATTTTTTTCAGGAATTTTTTTTTTGTAGTCAGAAATTCGCATGGGGTTACACTTGGGGAGATTTCTGCTTCTTTGCAGCGATTTAATTGCACAGCGAATATTCTCTAGTACTCCCATAAATGAAGAACGAAAAGTGCCTTATATTTCTGCCTGTATTTTGTGATGTAGTGAATTTGAATCCGGTATAAAACAAGGTTTACTTGCAGATCATACCAATTATATTTAGCTTAAAATGTTTAGGGCTTAAACACAGCCTCTGAAAGAAATCCAGTATGGTTTGCAAACCCCTAATTGCAGATCATTTGTTTATGTGCATAACGGTCAACTGGTACAAATACAAATTCTTTAGCCTCTGCGCACAGCGGAAACTACATAGGCAATAAAGCCATGAAGACCCCTCATTTTTCTCTTCTGAATGTATTAATGAGTTTAATATACATCTCGAAAAAATATTAAATATTATGTTTCTGGGCATTATCCATCGTCATCTTTATGTTGATATTTATACTGATATTGTAATACGTGTACCCGTTGCTAAGTAATAACTCTGAAAACAACGCCCATTGCTAGGCAACACATTCCTAAATAGTTGGGAAACTGTGTTCTCTACGCGGTCCGCGCGACAGCTACGTGACGCAACAATAGGAATTTGGAAGCTGTTTTCTAAGCGGCCTGTGCCCAGGTGTTATGAACAAGACAAGTCTAGATTTTAGTCTGTTGTGAGAGAGTCTCCTGTCGGTTGGGACGTAAACACGGAAATTTAGGAAGCTACAACGTTGGAAGCTGTTACCAGACAACGACCGCTGAAGATACAACAGACTGAAAAGACTTAGTAGGTGCTATAGTGAACTGCTGAATGTGTGAATTACAGATAGCGCTATAGTTACTTGTAGTTACGCTCTACAGATGTTCAATAAATCCAATTACTAATCGAAACCCTCTGTATAGTCACTCTAACAGGTGAAAATGTTCTCTCTAATCACAATTAATTAATTGGTCATTATCTTTGAGACACAGTGCATTTCATGTACGGTAGAAACTGAAATTTTAAATATTAATTAAATGAATTTATACTTCAGAGGGCTATATTTTTTCAACGAAACCTAAAATAGTCTGATCATAGTCTAAATATATTTTAATATTTAATATATATCGTACCGGTCACTGTAGCCCATCGAAATAAGTCTTCGTTCGCTTGCAAGCCGGGACCGTGGGTTCGAATCCCAATCAGGGCATGGATCTTTGGTGTTTGTGTGTATATTTGCGTTTTTCTATGTTTGTGTACAGGTAGAGGCCTTGCGACGAGCTGATCACCAACCCAAGGAGTCCTACCGAATTTTTTTAGACCTAGTCAACCGAAAGGAAAAGGAGAGTTTCATGGAGGTAGGCCAAGGCCCAAATTGGGGCTGTAGCGCCAAAGGAAATATATAACTTAATGAATTACCCATTAATTTGTGTGATGTGGCTCAGTATAATTTTGGAGATGATTTCCAACTTTTCAGAAAACTCAGTTGCCTTCCATCTTCAGGGTAGGAGGACGGAATTCATATAATATCATGACTCAGGAGCAAAATGTAATTATAAAGGCTTGGGCTCCAAGCGTGCACATTTGTTTTCGCCGTCAAAAGATGAAGAGGTACCTTCATAACAGCAGAGAATGGCAGACTGTAATGGAAAGCTCAAGGGGTGAAAAAGATTAGGGGTTATCAAAGAGTAAAAGAAATTGATGGGAAGGAAGTGAGTGAAGGAAAGTAAACGAGAGGTAGGACAGGAACAGTCAGAAGAAGATCGATTATAGCGAGCATCCGGTAGCTAGTAAAGAGGATTTCTCTCCTGGACGTGATTAACGATGCGTCGCAACGAGTAAGCAAATTAGACTGAGACTGAAAGCAAGCGAAGTTGCTAATATAGCTGAGACTTCTCTGCTAAACTTTGGGGAAAAAGGTTTACATATCGCTATTAATGTCCAGTTTCCGGCTAGGACACTCCTGGTAAACGTATCACTGGTGGCTTCTTTTGCTGGATAGTCAAATCGTAATTAGTTTTCGGAAGAGTAATATGTTCTTGGCCGGTCACGGTGGCCGAGCGGTCTAAAGCATGTACTGTCTTCGATCGCTCTGAACCCAGGATCGTGGCTTCGAATCCCATATAAGGCATGGATGTTTGGTATGTGTATGTGTTTATTCTGTGTTTATGTTGCCCTGTGTTTAGGTAGAGGCCTTATGACGAGATGGTCACCCATCCAAGGAGTCCTACCCTCTGTAAAAGTAATCAATGAAGCTGAGAAATCAGCCCTATGCTCCAAAGTGGGAGAAAAGAGGAAGAAAAATATTCTTTAGTCATTTAGCCCTCGTTTCGAATCCTGGCCGGGATTGCGGCTGACCTGATTGATATTGTCACGTGTTACAATGATTAAGACGCGGGTTTGGATTGGTAATTGGATATATTGGATCTTCATTAGTCGTAACTACAATTAGTTCTTATACTCTCAAGATTGTTGTAACTATAGCACATGTAAGTAACACATTAAGTCTTTTAATTCTTCTTCTGGCCACACTGCTGTTCCATTGGAACTGCGGAACTCAAGTGAAGTCAATTCCCATTTTCATACTCTCTCATATCCTCTCGGCACGGACCACGAACAGAAAACATAGTCCTATTGTTGCCTAGCGCAGACCACACAGAAAACAAGACACACGATAGATATTTCGCCAGTCCATTTGCGCTCTGACTGTTGCCTAGCAACAAGCTATAAATATTCGTCTTATTGTTGCATGCGCGTATCGCGGGGTGTTTATCGAGCCGTTGTCTGGTGATGCCTTGAAATGTCACAATATATTTCGTAGTATTCCTCAGTCCCTCCATGTGAACGATGGGATAGTATCTTAATTTTCTCACTACCAATTTCTTCTAGATTATTTCGAATTCATAAGTCAATTTTGATTCTACCATTCAACTCTATATTTCCTAGCTACTGACACCGTCGTGGCGGTACGCGATAACATTGTTGGTTGACGCACTATGCTACAATCCCGATGAGGTGGATTTTTTTCAATCGACCTAATCCTTCTAGTCGCACTATGGCCATGGTGTCGACTCAGCCTCTAACAGAAACGAGTACCATTAATTTTTCTGGAGGGTAAAGAGGGGCCGGCGCGTAAGGCTGACAACCTTACTGCCATTTATGAGCCGATTGTCTAAAAATGTGAGAGCCTGGATGTCTCACTGTCTGTTAAAAGGATAGCTTTACCTTTTTACATTTACTGACAGTGTCGTGAAATGAGCCACAAATCCCATTTAACAGAATCCGCCATCCGCTCAGCAAGCCAGAAAACTGCACCCTTTGTACGGAATCCAAAGCACCATCATTATTTTCGCAACAGGTAACATCTGGATCATATCCCGAGCCAGATAAATCCAGTACAAATCCTCACAGCCTGCTTATTTAAGATATGTAATAATATAATCCCACAATCTACACCTGGATTTCCCAAGTATTCTATTTCCTTTTGTTCTTCTGATTATAGTTTTTCATATATTATTCATTTCCATGCGTGCTACATGCCCTGTATATTGTATTATTAATGTGATCTGCCTAATATTGCGTGAGGAGCGCAATTTATGAGGCTCCGCGTTACATACTCCTCTCTTTCCTCTTGCTGCTTCCTTTGTCTGTGTCGCAATACTTTCCTCAGCTTGTTATTAGCAAAAAATATTTAGTTTATTTGCCAGCCTCCTAACCACTGTGCATAGGAAGGTTTTCCTAAGGGTTAGGAGACAGGAACTTAAGCTGATTAACCACTTCCATCTAATACAGAGGTCAAGAATGATGGAGCTATACCTCCACTTCGCCAAGTACTCTCATTTCGTAGTGCTTATTAAAAATTAAGTACAGGGAGAACTTTACTTTTACCTTACCTTGATTTTCACATTAGACACGAGACGGAATAGCAGCAGATTCCCAGCTGAGTGATGGGAATTTCTCTTAAACCAGGCGCTAAGAATTTATTTTTCTTGCGAAGTTGTAATTGATTGGCACCACCTAAGGAGACCCACCAAATGTGACTGTAAAGTGGAATTACTGACCGTATTGTCACGCCATCTGTTGAGTGTGACTGGAAGTGAAGCTTTTTCTTTTTTAAATGAGTAAGGCTGTTTAATTCTTTAATTTGCGTGACATCAAATAACTTTTGTTGTTCATATTCTGATTTTTATTTGAATATATATATATATATATTATATATACATACATTATTACAGACATATTGAAAACCGTTTACATAAAACTTGAGAACGGTAATTTAATTTTGTGATTTTTATTTTTTTATAGTAAAGTAAAGAAATATTTTTCAAACTTTTTGTGTTTGGACGTCCCTGAAGCAGCTAAGAAAATATTTGTACCTCGCTGCAAAACATGAAAAATACATAAATACTGAAAACATAGAGCAAGATATATACCCGTGTATTTCTATCATCTTGCTCAATTCTGGTAAAGTTTAGAGACGAGAATAACACCACTTGAAGATATCATGAAAAATATCTGGCCTGGTTATAACTAAGCAATAGATTAAATAACTAATCAACTAGCTAACTATCTAAGCAACAAACTAATTGACTCCATAAAGTTGAGCCCTTCTTGAGAATCCGCCAGTCGCTCAGCTCGGCATTAAGTGTAAATCAAAACAGTCCAGAGGGTGTCATTCATGAAAGTTTAAAAGGAAGAATTTACGCAAATATGACTTATTTTTATGTGTCTAAAGCAACTTTCTAGGGTACGTCAACACTAGATGGTGAAGCAGATCGTTGCATTGTCATTAGAAATTTACTAGAATCAATTTTAGACATAAGACGGGAAAGAGAATCATAATACCGGATTTTAACTGAAGAATTTTCTTCATTAAGACTACTTACGCAAGGTATGAATCACTACAAGAATGTTTCGACAGCTAAAATAACCCGTTCTTTATTTTTATAATAACATAATTTAGTCTGGTTAACGAAATTCACACAGAGAGATTACAGATTTTCGACAACAGACGTAGGTAGTTGATCCAAGGCTTCTAAAATTTCAACGGATTGATCGGATAATTCCAGGTGGAATAATTTTACAAAATTCTCGCGTTTGAAAGTTGGTGTGCTAGTAGAATTTTTCTTGGGGTATCCCATAAGGAGCCACGGAATACGAATAGCCACCGACACCAAGAACGCCAACATTGCAAAGCTTGGAAGACGAAATCTTGTTGCGAGAGCAGATCCTGCCGTTGACTTCAGGTAAGGTGAAGAGAGGAAACTCGGATGTAACAGCAATGCCGTATCGCCCCCTCGCCGTAGCGCCTCATACGTGTCCTTTCCTTCAGGATCATTCGCTAGTGCAGACAGACCACCTTCGGTTACATAGCCACTGAGTTCTTCTTCATTAGGATTCGTGTTTGTAATGACGAACAGTGGTCTCTTGAGGATATCGTCTATGCTCGAAGTTTGTGTTGGGTCACCTAAAATGCACCAAAGTTTTACATTAATGACTACTCCAATATTGATCTTGGGGACATGTGGTAGCGTAGTTGATTGCCGCAAGTTGCTGGGTTCGATTCCCGATGAAACCAATGCTTTTTTTAATTGACCTAATCATTCCATGCTCACTATGGCCCTGAGGCCGACTAATCTCTAGCAGAATTGAATACCAGGAATCTTCCTTGGGGCTAAACAGCGGCCGGCGCGTAAGGCTGACAACCTCACCGCCATCTGCGGGCCGATTGTCTAGAAAATATGGGAGCCTCAACGTCGCACAACCCGATGGGTATACACGGCCTGTTGTAGGGATAGCTTTACCTTTACAATTATCGTTCTTAAATTTAAGTCTTTCAGTCGGTAGATTTTCACAAAATATTTACTCTATGTAACAGTTAGTATTACCGATCACAGCGGCCGTGCGGTCTAAGGTATGAACTGTCTTCGCTCTCTCGAACGCTGGGATCGTGGGCTCGAATTCCATTCAAGGCATAGATGAGTGTGTGTTTGTGTTTATCCTGTGTTTGTATTGTCCTGTGTGTTAGTAGCGGCCTTGCGACGGGCTGACCACTCGTCCAAGGAGTCCTACCGTCTGTGTATAAAAGTAAAGTAAAGTTATTCCTGTAACAGGCCGTGAAGGCCCATAAGGTTCTGAGATGATGAGGATCCCACATTATCCATACAATCGGGTCAAAGATGGCGGTAAGGTTGTTAGCCTTACGCGCCGGCCGCGCTTTACTTCCCAGGATAATTATTTAATTAACTGCTGGTACTCATGTCTGTTAGAGGCTGAGTCAGGGCCATAGTGCGTCTGGAAGGATTAGGTCAATTGAAAGAGAATCCAGTGACCTCATCGGGACTTGAACCCGCGACCTTCCGGCTTGTAGCATAGTTCCTCAACGAACTACGTTACCGCGTGCCCCCACCGTCTGTGTATAGGATTAAGAAACTGAATAGCAGCCAAACTTCGAAGGGCTGTAGAGCCATAGATAGATAGAAAGTTAGTATTAATTAATAGTAATGACACGTCTTGCAACAGTAATTCAGTAACATAATGTAACGTTCTGAACTTAAAGTAACTTAACGTAACGTAACATAACATAACGTAAAACACAAACATGACACTACACGATAAGACATGACATAAAATAACATAAAATGACGTAACGTAACATATAATTTTGTATAACATAACGCATCCTACACAATGATATGTCATGATGTAAAATAACGCAATGTGATATATTGCAAAACATGATATTATATAACAGATTATACGTATATGTATAATACGCACTGCAGACTGTAATGTGCTTGTTACTCTCACGCACAGTGACAATAACCAGTTAGTGCAGGCTGTTACTCCTCTCCTCTGGGATGTAGTGCACTATACATTCCAAATGATATCTCCCTCCACAATGACCTCTGTGAGAATCTCAAATTCAACAACCAGTTTATAATTACGACACAAGGTGAAGTATTAACATACGTAGCTTATTGAACAGATGATGGATGCAGCACAAACATAACGACAGCAGTATACAGTGTTCATTAACTTTACGCACAATTTAGTGCAATGTCATTAGTACACAAACTAGCCATCACACAGTAATCTAGAGACATCTAGAGACACAGGGTACTATGAAACTGTGCAGTAACATGTTTAGTCAGGTTAGCTCTCGCCACAACAAAGTGATTTATAATCAATCAATGCTTTAAATCGAATGTTTATTTCCTGCTATATATTTCGGATTCACAAGTGCTATAGGAATATGTCTACGTCATTGAACCCCTAGTATGGATCCATATTGGTGTATCGAGTCATATTCTGTGATAACAGAATTTATGCATCGAGTTAAAGAGAAGTATTGAAATTTAAGTATAAAATATCAGGGATGTATAAAAATATATTATACAAGTATACTGACTTTTGCAGTATAGGTATTGAAAGTAATGAAAGATGTATCAAAATTGTTAAACATTATTAGAAGTTATTACAAATTATGTATGCCATGTTTCAAAGTTATAATGTCCAATGTAGAGTTAAGTTACATCATTATATAGTTTATGGAACCATGTTGTTAAGTACGGTAATATGCCATACACAAGCAAGACGGGAGGCGATCTACAGTATACGTAGGCTAATGCGTTATGCATTGCTTTTACCATTTCAGAAAACTTATGATACTGTTTGAAATTTTTTCTGTAACTTGTGATAAAATTCTGGGGATTCATTTCTCTGAGAGAATAACATGGATTACGAGGCTTTGAGTACAGGAAGACAGATAAATTTGTAAAAGTTGGCATTTATAATTTGAACTCTGTTCTAAATATTAGATTAATAGGACGGTTCAATCAAGCAGGCATATAACATGGAGGGCTCAGGTGAGAAATATTAGGAAATGTTTAAACGTTTTAGTTTGAAGGAAAGATTGAGCCCACAAGTAGATGGAAGAATAAAGTAAAAATGTGTTTTGATGTTATATGTGTTATGTTATAGTTATGTTACGTTGTCATTTTATGTTATTTTATATTATGTCGTATCGTGTAGGGTCATGTCGTTTTATATGCTTATGTTGGTATATGATATTATGTTATGTGGGATTGTGTCTATGTAGACCACTATGCTTGATGTAGACAAATAAGAAATGAAGAATCGTTTTAATATTTTGTGTACCTCTGACGTAGAACGTACACAGCTGAGTGTTTCGTCACGGGAATATATTTGGAAAGTGCCCCTTCACAGTCTTAGCTGGATCATCGGTTATCCTAACCCAGAATTTTTATAACATTTCTAAGTAAATGCAGGTGAATGTCAGGATTGTATCTTAAAATGTAACAAAATTCCATCATAAGTTATTTATAGGCCATAATATACAACTAACATACTGTCTCATTTCACGTAAAGTGATCCATCGTCATTGGAACAGATTCGTTAAAGAAGCACTATTATTATAATTATTTTACTGCAACTGGGTGTTCATCCGGTGGCAGTAGATCTTACAAAGACTATACATAAAGGGAACAATACAAAACAGAGTACATACAATAAACAAGGTACACACAGTGCAAATCCAAGCAAGGGCACGTGATTGTGGTCGTATCAAGTTCCCATACTTCGGCACTTGTTATACGAGGTGGTGAGTAAAATTATTATTATTATTATTATTGGTAATTGTAATTGTAATTGGCCACTGTGCTGTTAAGTTGGCACATAAATAATAAAGAATTGAATTATTATTAGTATTTAACTGCAAATGTGTGTTCACCTCGTGGCAGTGGTACTACAATAAAACAGACAAATAACGCACATTACTACAATAAGACAACAGACAGATAACACACATAAACACTTTCAAACCAAACACAACACATAAACATTAGCAGAAGAGCACACAAACAATATCTCCGAGTTCCTCCTGTGCGTAATGCAGAAACAGACGCTGCGCTTACCGTAGACATTGATACCGGTGCTTTCTGATGGTTCATAGCTTGAGGCCGCTAGGGGCACGATGCCGAGTAGAATGATCCTTGCCAAGGACATAGTTCATCAACAGTCTGACGTGGGCCCGACCTGGAACTTATATGTTCTTCAGCAGCAGATAGCCTAATAACTATACTAATCTTTATGGCAGGGACTTTCCATAGCCTTCACTAAAATCAATAATCTATTTTAGGAAGGTACGAAGTGACATGGCTATACAGAATGTCCCACGAGGAAAGATCGATATTCTGGGACGTCATAGTATCCGTCATTCTAAGCAAAATATTGTATATGTGCAGTTCCAAAAATTGTTGATACTTACTTATGGAGCTAAGGGCCGCGCCATAGCTCAAGCGGTTAGTCGCTGGCTTACCACCGCGGCGATCCCGGATCTGGTCAAGTGGGATTTGTGGTAGACAAAATGGCGCTGGGGCAGGTTTTCTCCTAGTACTTCGGTTTCCCCTGCCAAGCTATATTCCACCAATTGCTCCACAATCACCCTCACCTATCATCTGGGGCTGGTGCAATAGGCCAGAAGTGACTGCAGTACAAGGGACTTGCTCCCATCCCACTAAAAATACTTATGGAGCTGAGCCCTTCTTGAGGAGAAGCCAAATCTGCAGCTACCAAAGAATTTCCCAGCATTTTATGGAACACAAAGGTTCATTAGCGTGCTCACAAGAGCCCTCCACTGGTCCCTATCCTGAGCCAGATCAATCCAATTCATACCATCCCGCCCTATCTTTCTAAGATCATTTTTAATATTTTCCACCCAAAATTGTTGATAAGAATGAAATATTACGTACTATTTCTAATACCGGTATTTATTGTTGAAGTGACAAAGTTGGTACAGTTTACCTAGTGCAATACATTTTCGAGAATTCCACCGTCAACATCAATGCACTTTGTAACTCGTGTGTGGACATGGCGTATTGCTCGCCTGTACAGTGTACTGTAAAGTAAAATAACTTTATCTCGGAAACCGTTCAGAATAGGACACATGTACATATACAATTTTTGCTTAGAATGGTCTATACTATGACCTCCCAGAATATTGATCTTTCTTCCTAGGACATTCTGTAGTATAATCACTTGGAGCTGGGTTCTTTTCAAACTATGGAAAGCAGTATTAGGCTTTGAGAAACAAAGAGACCACTAAGAAGACTTACACGTGCACATATATAGGAAATATTGTGAGGATGGATCTTGGAGAAAGAGTATGGGGTGGTATGGAGTGGATTCATCTGGTTCAGGATAGGAATCATTGTTGGGCTGTTATGAACACGGAAATGGTCTTCGGATTCCATGAAATTTTAGGAAATTTTTGAGAAAGTGAGCGACTGGTGGCTTTTCAAGAGGGACTGATTAGTTAGGTCGTGATTACATTGCTGCAAGGGAGAGAACCAGGAATGACCAATTGAAGTTAGTCCACGTCCTCAGACCCTATTTCTGGAATGTATGTTTCCTGCTAGAACCGCCTCTATGGTCTAGTAGTTAGATTTCTGTTTACAGAACCAGAGGTCGGGGTCCACTCAGCCTCGTGAGGATAACTGAGGAGCTACTTGAATGGAAAAGTAACGGCTCCGGTCTAGAAAACCGAGATTAACGGCAGTGGGGATTCGTTGCGCTGACCACGCGACACCCTCTATCCGCAAAAGTTGGCACTAACTTCGCCGAAAAGAGGTGGTTGCTCGGTCGGTATAGTTTGTTTGCAGACAAAAATCACGGAGTTTATTTATTTTTTAGTTTTATGTTTCCTTCTATGGCTTAATCTCCCTTGGGATATCTCCACTTTGAAGTGGACGCTTTCCTTGTATTGTTCCTTTTGGAAAAGTATACTCTTTACCCCACCCATATGCGTTATACTTGTACATTACGCCCATCTTATGCTCCTTTGTATACTGGCACTAATTACATATAATACCAATTATACAGCTCTTCATTTTAAATTTTTCTTTGAAGTACTGAGAGCGCTATTATGTACGGAAACATTTTATTTTCCATAAACTCTAAGAGTGACAGGTTTCAGTGACGAAGGTAAGTAAAAATCTTCCACTCTCCCGTAGCTTTCTACCGAGCGACCGCGGATTCAATTCTCGGGGATTATTATTAAGGAAAGCCTAACTGAAGCTATTGTGGTCCTCTGTCTTCCGTTTCCTCTGCCATAAACATTTCGAAAATTTCCATAATGACCAATGTAATAGGAGCCAGATAAAGACCTCATGTGATACAGCAAAACAAAAACATCCAAACCGTTTAATCTTTAAACGGAAGGTTATTTAGTCTACACATCTAATTTTAAGTTCTAATGGCCACTTTTGATCTGGTTCAGGATAGGGACAAGTGGAGGGCTCTTGTGAACATGTTAATGAATCCTCGGGTTCCATCAAATGTTACGAAATTCTGGAGTAACTTGACAACTGGCTACTTCTCAAGCAGGCCTCAGCTCGTTGGAGTTAGTTAATGGCCACTTTACTGATCTCCACTATCTTTTTTTTTTCTTTGGCACTACAGCCCAAGTGGGCCTAAGCCTACCTCTATGAACTCCGTTCATTTCGGTTTTTCTAGATCTTACATATTCGGTAGGACTCCTTGGGCGAGTGATCAGCTCGTCACAAGGCCTCTACTTGTAGACAAACACAGAAAAACTCACACAAACATCCATGCCCTGAGTGGGATTCGAACCCACGATCCCGGCTTTTGAGCGAGCGAAGACAGTGCATGCCTTAGACCGGTCGGCTACCGTGACCGGCCGATCTCCACTATCTACATGGACATATTTAAACGAAGTGCCAATGGATGAGATATCCAGGACATGTAGTACGCAGTGGAATGGGATAGGAATGTATGTAGAGTTTTGTTGGGAAAGCCAGAAGGAAAGAGACCACTAGGAATACCTAGACACATGTGAGAGGGTAGTGTGAAGTAAATATTATTTTTCCTTCAAGTTTCCTTAGTAAATTTTGTGTGAATTTATCATCCCTCCTATCCGTGCTATATGTCCAACCTATCACATTTGAATTGAGTACTGCAACTATGCAATTTTCTTGTTACTTCTCCGCTCTCAGATCAAACGATTGTCCTCTGCATATTGCTCTCAGTCACTCTCACTTTCTTCCATCCGTCAGGGCAAGATACCATTTTACACAATCAAACAAAATAACAAGTTTTTATATTTTTTATGTGTTTTAATCTCTGTTTTTCGTCATGAGACGTTAAGGAAAAGGATTTTGATATTAACTTGTGTATTATTGGGTGGTTTAAGGTATTCCTTGCCTAAATATGAGAAAGAAATGAGTACTCTGAATTTCTAGTTGAGGTACCATTGTTTTCATTACAGCAGAAACCATCGAGTAATGCTACTCACTTCATCAACATGGAACTACTGACAGTTCACAGTTCAAGCAGCTCAGTACACGCCGATAGACACTCCAAAAGAGCAGAATAATTGAAATAAATTCCTTCACTTGAAAAAGTTGCCCGTAAATCAGCATTTAGGAGTGAGGGGCAGCTATCGATCACAGCTCAACCAATTAAACGATTAGTAGAAGCAGAAAGCCCCCTTCCCGAGCTCTTTCGGGTCCATTAAAAGTTGTAATGGAGAGGGAAGGGGGGAGGGGTATGTTATATGAAATGAACGGCAGGAAGTGTCTTGGTAATTTATTTGGAAATGGACTGAACATAGCAAATGCATTGATGGAAATTACTTCCCTTCCTCGAAACTTTGAGTTTCTTCGTTGTGACTAGATATGGAGTCTGAATTGATAATTGGATTTGTAACTACAAATAATTATAACGCCACCTTTAATCTACACACTTAATAAATTGTTATGGTACACGCTGATTCTTAGACTCTTGTTGATTAACTGGTCGTTGCCCAGTAAATGATCACAACAACGTAGATTGCTTAGCTTTCGCACTCACATCCTCACTGAATGTTAGCTGGCTCGCAACTCGCAACTAACTCATGATAGAAACTGAATCTCAGCTTGCTACTATGTAAAAGATAAAGACAGAGTCAAAGTCACGTTACGACCGAGGGTCAGCCGGCCAGCATGTCTTAGTGTCAAACCCCATCTGTGGCCCAAGACAAGATTTTTGTTACTGTCAGACGGTTGCGGATTTGTTGAGGTGGGGTGCACTCTCTGAGGAGAGGGCGGGTCCGTCATCTACTACAGTGAAAATTGGTAGTACATGTCATCCTTATTTACAAGTTTGCATGTCAACATTATACATAGTCGTTTGTCAAGGAGCTGGTTCCTTATGGATGCCTAGGATTATACGAAAAGTTTTATATGGCCGGGCCATAACTCAAGTGGTTAGTAGCTGATTTCCTACGGCGGCGGTCCGGGCTCGATCCCGGGTCTCGTCAAGTGGGATTTGTGGTGGACAAAGTGGCGCTGGGGCGGGTTTTCTCCGAGTACTTCGGTTTCCCCTGTCAATCTTCATTCCCCCAAATTCTCCATCATCATAATCACTCTGGGCAGGTACAATAGGCCAATCAGTGGCCGCCGTGCCGAGTGGACCCAGTTGTACTCCACCCCCCATTAAGCGAATTTTTATAGTTTTACATGTAACTAATATATATATATGCAGCATATAGAAGGCCTCTATTAGTCTAGGCTTGCGTAGCACATAATGCTGTAGCTCATGTAGCTGATGTTATAATGGCTGCCTTGTCACTTAAACGGTCGTACGCTTGACCGTCGCCAAGCTTAAGCCTCTTGTGTCTTCTGTGTTGGGCTTCACTTTTCCGATGTCCTGATTATTTGCATCTTCATGACGTTGTACGACCCCTGCTTGTTGCCTGCACAATTTGATTATGTAATCATAAATGATAAGGCGTGCACTGTCTTGGCTCGCTCGGAAGCCGGGATCGTGGGTTCGAATCCCACTCAGGGCATGGATGTTTGTGTGCGTTTTTCTGTGTCTGTGTACAGGTAGAGGCCTTGTGACGAGCTGATCACCCGCCCAAGAAGTCCTACCGTATGTCTAAGATATAGAAAAACCGAAGTGAACGGAGAAGTTCATGGAGGTAGGCCTAGGCCCACTGGGGCTGTAGTGCCAAGGGGGAAAATCATAAATGAACGGTACTTGGAAAGCCATGCGCAATTCGCGAACGTGTGTGCAATTTGT